CATACTTTTACGTGTATTCATCTAACTCTTAAAGATAATGCAATATAACCTCACTTTTACTGAACCTTCAATAACTCAGCTATCTGATTGCCAATTTCTATAGAATTTTCAATGAAGAAACTTAATTTTGAACCTTTTAATAAATACTATTTTCATGTTTTTACATTGTGGGCCCAGAATTGTATGCCATACTTTCGATCTTTAAATTTGCAATACATACAAAAGTTTAAAATATTTTATTCAAAACCTCAGTAGCTCCGCTACAGTTACAAAATTTTTGGATTAAAATTTATTATATAGCCATATCGTTTGGTATAAGAACTAAAAATTAAACAAATAATGTTGAATGTCTAATTTGTATATAAACAAATTTTCATTACATTATTGCGCAATTGGATATCGTTTACTATATGGCATGAAGAGACAAAAAAAACACTCCAGGTGACAAAACTTCCAAGAATACTAAGATATTAGGTATAATGCTTCTTCTAGCATATTACCAACTTCTTATTTAAATTTCTTTATTACAAAACACATAGCTCTATGGACCTTGGAATCAATTCAACTTTTGATTAACTTAAAAACGGAGTACTTAGGTTATAAATTTTGCTGTACCTACTTTCTTCAGAGTAGTAGATGTTTTATATAAATATTGTATATATCTATGTGTAAGAAATTGTAAGTTAAGTTTAAATAGAAGTCTGATTCCTTTAGTGAAATTACGTCACGTCACAATAAACTTTAAGTATATTTAGACATAATAAAAGATGTCAAATATCAATACAATGTTATTAAATAAGTAATTTTTAATCTCTTCATATGAAATGATTCAGTTGAATTGAAATATGAAATGATTGAGTTGAATTGAAAAGTTGAAATGATTTAGTTACTCGACAGAAATCAGTTGATTATCAGAATATCAAACATATTTTAAAAAAAGTATTTAATTGTGCAGATTACAATGGCTTTTCAGACCAAAATAATAGTTAAGAAAATAATACCATCTTCAATAATTGGGGTCTAAATGTTCTTTAATTTAAAAGAAATAAAGAAATGCAAAATTATTTTTTATAACTGTATTTGATGTGAAATTAATTTCTATAACATATTTATTTAATGGATTCTCTTCATAAAATTTTATTTTGTAAATAATATTTCTATGATAATTAATTTTCAATTACTTTGTATAAGTTTTGATTGAGGTTAAATATTTCTACTATTAACAAAATTATTGGAAATGTAAAGCTTGAAATTGGTAAAAATATAAATGTTATTTTATAATGTTTTGTTTCCTATGGAAGTTTCACTTTTTACATGTGTTCTTTGTAAAGAGACACTTTATTCATTTTTTGTTGTTTAAAATCTTTCACAATTTCTATCTAACTATATGATCCGACACATTATTTAATTTGTTACTATAGTTTAATGTAGGGACCTTTTATGATATTAAAGTTTTCTTTTAAATTTACATGTTTAAATATATTTTTATTAACAACATAACTTTCTTTAAGTTACGTAGCCAAAGCTTTGTAAATATGAATTACTGTTTTAGTAACGTGCATAATTGTATGTATAATATGCTTGTGCCAGACTGTGAGTATGCGTGTTCATCTGAATGTAAAACCGAAATCTCTATATAAGTGAATCGAACTTTGTTTCGTCGCGTATTTTCTATTGTATATTTTACCCAACGTTTTTAGTGTATTCGGGAACACGAGGTGAAAGTATCTGGATATAATCCATTTGTTGTCCATCTATCTGCTTGTCAAAATTCGATTTAAAAAATTGAACTGGCCTTCAAGGATTTTTTTATGAACTTTTTTTAGTAAAAATTTCGGTTACCAGCTTCATATTTATAAAATCCGAATAAGATATTTGAAATTGTAAAAAAAAATTGTTAGTTGTTAATATTATTAGTTAGTTATAGAAGCAATAATACGTAACTTTTACAAACGTTCAATTTTCAAACAATATTCGACTTCACCATTCAATTTCACCAGAAGCTTAGAAACATTCGATTGTTAAGGAATATTCTTAGTAAAGTACATTATTCATTTCGGTTCATCGACTTTATATTATCGTAAACTTTTATTAAGAGGTCTTAATTGTATGACCATATATGATAATTGCCCGCAGATGCTATACAACTGTTACAATTAGTTTGATATTATATTTAAATTATATATTCCATTGAAATGACCTCTGTGGTTAATAAATCTTTCCAGCTGGTAATCTCTAAATACCAGATAATAGCGATGTTCATTACATATACAGACCCAGTAGTGATTAGCATTTCAAAACAATAAAATGAAAATATAAATTTTCATACATAAGTATGTACTTAATATGTAATTTTTAAGTGAATATAAATTAGGTTTCAAGAATATAAATTAGGTTAGAATATCAATTAGGTGTCGCTACCGGTAGCGTAAACATTGGTTACGTACATAAAAACAAGGGCGTCGCCAAGGGGGGGGAGAGAGGGGCAGCTGTCCCTAGAGATTGTAAAAAAATAAAAATAATAAATGTTATTAGGTATAACTTATTTACAAGTTTTTTATTGCATAGTCAAGAGCTCGTGCTCGTGTAGCTTTACACATTAGACTCTGTACCAGTGGCGGCTGGTGGGTTATCTAACTGGTGGTGCACTTTACTAAAATATTAAAATTAGAAAATGCAACAAAAAACCAATTGACACAAAATATGTTTATTTTTTATACATTAATTAATGCAACGACATTTTTCCGAAGCGAAATGTTCAATCACCTATTTATTAAAATCAGGTATTGTTTGTATATATTTTTTTATTCAATACTAAGCACAGAAAGTGCATTTAGCAAGTGCATGGTATTTCGGAGAAAAGTTTTGATTCTTTTCAATTCCAATTCGTCATACATCGGGTGCTCTCGGTAATCTTCGGCCGCTCGTGACGCGCTCGAGAACCGACTCATTACTCGGTACATTTCTATGAACTATCTTTTGTTTCACGCGTCAGGCGTATTAATGCGTACCTCATACAAGATGTATTAGCGCTCCTCGTGCATGCGCCGAAGCGCACGAGATATTAGTTTAGTAAAGTGCTCAAACTTTTTGACTATAATTAGAAATTTAATTTTTTATTCGTTTTTGTATGTTTAGAAAATAAATATTAAAATGGTAATTTAAAAATAAAGATGGAGTAATATTTTGTAATTTTTAAATCTTTTGAATTGGTGGTTCAGCGCACGAGTGCACTTAAGGTACAGCCGCCACTGCTCTGTACTGTCACAGAATACCTACAATTCATACCTACTTTACCTACAATTCATACCTACTTTTCTCATTCATAGAGAATGAGAAAAGTATGAATCTGTAAAGTCAACTTGCCCCCCCCCCCTGCGCCATCGGCTGGCGACGCCCTTGCATAAAAATCAATAAAATTGTAAATATTTGTTTTCTTGCCACTGTCAAGTAATTATCGGTCAAATTATTGTACAATTATTCGCTATTACCGTTTGTAGGCGGTTAACTTGGTGATTTTTGGTGTTTGACGTCTTCATAATATTAACCTAATAGTGTATATCGGAATAGTATTTTCTGTTTAAACTTTAGAATAATAAGTGTTTTTGTAGTTTTATTGCTGTCAATAGTGCTTAAAACATTCAGTGCATTAACTTTGCGAAGGTGATAAAGTGTTTTTTAAAATTTGTAAGGTAAAAACCAGTATTTTTATTCAAACGCTCAAGAGCATTGCGTCCTTACTCCTGATTGGTCAAGAATCAAATGATAAAACCCAGCTGTTTTAACTAAATCATCTTTTTCACATCTGACTCCAGAAACAAACTGGCCGAAAGGTGTTTACTAAGCATAGTATGCGTGAAGCGAGAGTTCGATCCCGGGCATCGCATGTGAGCAAGATTGATTTTATTTTATTTTTATTTTTTTTCCTCGTTTTGAGATTACACATAATTAATTTGTAAAAAAAACATGGATGATAATATTAAAAATCGTAGAGGTGTACGAGCCCACATTGCTTCATCCAAAGTGGATACAAATGTAATACCAGTCTCTAGTGAGGAAGTTCAAAATATTGTATCCAAAGAGTTCGACAAATTGTGGCTTAAATTGGAAAATACTATAACCGATATAATGTCTGCGCAACTCAAACCATTAAAGGACGAAATTGCAAACTTTAAACAAAGTTTTAATGTTTACTAGTCTTTTTTTAATTATATGTGTCTAATTACCAGTGGAAACTTAGCTGATATATGTAATTTTGTATTATTATGTCCCATAAGTTTATCTTATTGTTTGTTTCCCTAAAATAAAATAAAATAACATACATAAGGTAAAGTCACTAGTAGTTGACCATGTACCTGTAGTTGACCGCTAATGCACATAAACCGTTATAATAACAATTCGCGGCAATTTTTAAAACTCATTCGTTAATAAGTAGTCAGATCTGCTATCTGGTCAACTAAGCGCGTAAATTGCGCATCCATATCTGTAAAATATAGAAAGTGGCTGCCAGTTGTTTGTTGAGTGACGGACCATAAAATCAATAAATTCGTTTGTTGTTACAATATTCGTAGAGATTGAAAAAGTTTGAAGCTAAATACTAGGAACTTTGTCACCTTGTTGACGGTAAGTGTTTTTCGTTTCTTATTCGTTTATGGTTTATTTATATGACAGGCTAATTAAAATTTGAAGATTTGTACACAAAATTGATTTGCGGGGGTGGTCCACTACTGATTCCGTTTGACTGTGATTTTCTAGTAATTGACCATGGTGGTCCATTACCGAATTACCGATTGACTATGATTTTCTAGTAAATGACCATGGTGGTCAACTTTTGATTAAGTTCTGTATCTTGTAAATATGCTGCATATAATAATTAATTAAAATAAACTATTTTATTTACTTTAACAATATATTGATTTTCTTTAGTAGTTGACTAACTGTATGGTACGAATTTATGACTATGGTCTACTTGTTACTAAAACCAATTTTTCATATTGTAGATGCCTGGGAAAAGAGGCGCATTCCTAAATTATACTGAAGCTGCAATGCTTGCAGCAGTGAACGATGTTCGTCTTCATAAAACACTAATACGAACGGCTGCAAAAAAGTTCGGTGTACCAAGAATAACGCTTACAAATAAAGTACAAGAGAAGTCACCGATGGAACGAAAAATGGGTCCGACATCCATCCTTACACCAGAAGAGGAGCATAAAATATGAGACTGGGTGCAAAAAAATGGCAAAAGCGGGTTTTCCTGTGACAACCGAACAGTTAATTGTGAGTGTAGAGAAATACTTAAAGGAAATAAAACGTCCATGTGTCTTATTCAAGCATGGAAGACCAGGTAGAACATGGGTAAAGGCCTTTATTCGGAGAAATCCAACAATTTCCAAGAGGATATCACAAAATTTGACAGCATCGAGAGCCAAGGTAACAGGTGATCACCTATCAGAATGGTACAAACGTGTGTATAAGGAGTTGGAAGATAGTGGCCAGGCCTAATTATTATTATATTTCAAATAAAACGTTTTCTTTTCGTCTTATTTTGCTTTTTATTTAACAAATAACCCAATTAAAATTGTAGCATCTGAGTGGTCATCTACTGATGCAAAATATGGTCACCTTCTAGTTTTTAGATGGTCAACTACTAAATTTCTAACATTAGAATATTTTGAATTTTTTTAATTTTATTCGTTCATTTTACGTGGTGAAATACTTGTTCATATGTTAAAACAATTTTCACAGGGTTTCCCAAAAAAGAAACTTACTGAATTCATATGATAATTAAAGTCAAACATTTAAAAAGAATATTCTGTCCTCTTAAGTGGTCATCTACATTGCAAGTGAAATAATAACTATTAAAAGTTTTTGTATTCATTGTATATATAAGAAACAGTCATGACGGGCAGACGAGATGTGTATGATATAAAGTATATTTAGGCACATATTGATAATAAATTTTTGAATTTAATTTCGTAGCAACCCAAGTGCGAACTTGCACTAAATACTTTATGATCTCTCAGTAAAACATAAAATCTGGACCGCGTTATGTACAGATTGTAAGTTCTAATCTTGTTAAATGTATGTGATACATCTATCACCCTTAGCGTGGTTATACATTCAATAATATCATATAATAAGTTTGACATCACCAACCCTTCTTGAGCGAGCGTGGTGATTAATGCTCAAACCTTCTCCATGTGAGAAGAGGCTCAGCAGTGGGCTCTGATAGGATGATGATGATGGAAACATCTCATATAATCTCCTATATTATGAATATGCATTCAAAATATTCATATAATTATGATATCCCAGGTCGGTGGAAGACGCCAAAGCGAGGTTGTCGGAGATGGAGCGAGCTCTGAACAGCACCGAGCTGGGTTCAGACTTGAGATCCTGCAAGAGACTGCTGCTACTACACCAGTTGGGTACATCACATACTAGCGGTTTACTGCGACTTCATGCGTGTATTAGGTATTACTCAGATGGTGATTAATGTGTATCTAATATAATGGATGTCATTATGAGGTCTAAATTGCTTTATAGAAGAGTTTTATCAAAATCAGTTAGGATGATTTACTTGTAAGACCAACATATATCCATACATACCTACTAGATATACTATATATACATATACATATATATAGTATTGCTTTTCAAATTATTATCTGTCGTAGTAATGCCAGCTAACTGATATAATTTGTGGTAACTGTCAGTGTGAGAGTGATGATGTGGTTTTAAAGATTTCTTTTTTTGCTAACATTATTATTTTTATAAAATCAAAGTGTAAAGATCTAATTGCTGGTGCTTTAATAACTAGATTTAAACTAAGGGCTCCTCAGGCGAGAAAACAATTTGTTTTAAAGTAAAACAAGTAGAATTATATTGTTTAGAAATGTGTATTGACAAAAACAATTATTGTTTACAGAAAAATGAGATTTCGTCCTTGTTGTATTTACTAGAACATAATATATCCATATTTATATAATATTCAATAGTAACATAAATGTCTACAGGCTCTGGAACAAGAGTTGAGTCAATGCGAACAACGAGCGGAGTCCCTTGCAGCCCAGGGCTCCGACCTGGTCTCCTGTGGTCACTTCGACGGCGCGGCCATCGAGAGAGACTCCGCTTCGCTGCTACAGGCCGCCCGGGCGCTCCGCCCTCGAGCGGCCGAGAGGAGACAGGCGCTGGAAACTAGTCTACAGTCAGTATACGATATAACTAAAACAAAATATGATTCAATACAACATTATATAAGAAATGATTAACAGTTGACGGAACAATATATATGTATGTAATACATATATATAATTGAGCCGGGACGGGTATAAAGATTAAAATATTTACTGTAAAGGGCCATAGATCTATTTTAAATCAAAAATGTATTAAAGTTATTTAACTGGATAAGGATTCTCCACTTATTTATGGATATCATTATACATACAAACCTTCCTCTTCAAACAATCTATCTTTCAAAAAAAACTACACTAAAATCCACTGCGTAGTTTTAAGTTATTAAGAATGCATACGGATATAGGGACAAGAAAAGCAACTGTTTTATAATTTATACCATATTAGCTGCGCCCCGGGGATTTGAGAGATTTCCGGGATGTAAAGTAGCCTATGTGTTATTCCTGGACGTCAGCTTCCTGTACACAAAATTTTATCAAAATCAGTTCAGCCGTTTGAGCGTAAAGAAGTAACAAACATACATTTTCCTGTTTATTCATTAGTCTTAAATTGTACCTAAATAATGTAGCACCTGACAAAAATATTGTTTTTGTAATGATTATGCCGTGTACACATACTTAAGAATATAATCAAGCTAAAAATAATTTTAGATTGTAACTCATATGTAATCCGGCTTATATTCTGTTTGTGTGCCTAAATTAATAAATAAATACATACACACTCACAAACTTTCGCAATTATAATATTAGTAGGATAGTAATAGTACATAATCAATTTGAGGACTAATTTCATCATTCATCATCATCATTCATCCAAATCCTCCACAGACTACACAAGCTCGCTGCCGAGGTTTCAGGAGAGCTAGCTTGGGTGTCGGAGCGCCAGGCCGCCGCTTCCTCTGCCACGCGCAGAAGAAACACGCCAAGCTGAGGGTGGAGCTGGAGGGGCGGAGGCCTGTCGTGGAGGGGGTGCTCCAGCGGGGCAAGGAGCTGGACACGCATCCACAGGTTGGGAAGGTGGACTATATATATATATAACTCACATTCTCATGTATTACATAGTAATGTTATATAGTTATATGTCCCATTGTATTTGTAGTGATTATATGTAGGTATTTATTTCTAAGAGAGAAACACGCGTCCGTTCGATAGTGAAGAACTGACGCATAGTAAAAAATGTCCATCCTACCAACGTTATAGTATCATAGTTAAATTCATTCTGGATCTCCACACCATACCTTGGATCATCTCAAATATTATATACAGCATGTATAATTAAATTATTCTTGGACAAAGTTCGGTTAATAATTGAATTTTTTTAATATTTTTTGAGTGAATTCTTGAAGTAAAACTTCTTATGCGATTACCAACAAGGTTGCGTTAAACGTTCAACGAAGGGAAAGAGAGATACACAAATGTAGAAAGTAGGAGAGAGATTGTGAGTAGCTTCCAAGCACAGTACTGTTGCTTACAGCGAAGTAAACAGTATGAACGCGACATTAACTGAAACACCAATTTGTATTATATTAATTTATGTATATACATATAATTCATTTCCTCAGTCAGTTGTGGCCTAGTGGTTAAAAGTCCCGCCTCTCATGCATGAGGGCGCGGGTTCGGTCCTGGCAAATACCAATGTGATTTTTCCGAGTCATATGTACTTTATAAGAGTATTTAGACATCACTGATTTATGCATTCCAAAAGAGGGCTGATGTCAGGCAGGCGTCCGGTCGTAAAAAGAATTAGGCAAAACTATTCACACATCTTAGGCAGACCCTGGCTAAAAGCTGGGAAATTGCCAGGAAGAAGAAGATTAGTTTATGCATATACATATAATTTATTTCCCTACTCCACTCACTAAACTATAACGATCACATTCCAGATCAAGCAATTGTGCCAGGAGCTTGAAGAGGCGTACTCCTCTGTGTCATCAGCGGTGGAGGAGCGCGCGGCCCGGCTGGAGGTGGCGCTCAAGGCCCAGTAGTTGCTGGCCCAAGGCTGACAAGGCCGCCGCACTGGCTTCCGGTGACGTCGGCAATGATAGGCATAGAGCGACGCAACTACTCACACGGCAAAAGGTAATATACACATATATACATAGCTAAGAATTAGATTTTCGTCATATCACACAATTTTTGAGCTACAAGAAATGTATGATAAATCACTATATATACAGGGTGACTGGTCAATTACTATCGATACTTGAGGACGTGATATTTGACGATCGTATATGACAAAATAAAAATTAATATAACATAAATATTAATAAACTTCTAAGTAAAGTTAACCAAAAGTTATGTAATTAATTACGCATCGTGTGAACACCCTACAGATTAGGTATACACACACACACACACACACTTGCGTGCGGCGGCGTGATGTTGTATCAGCACGCCGCAGCACGCGTCCACACTTGGAACAATTGGAACGTGTCCACACTTTATTTATTTATACGGAAATTTGGTCAAAAATTAAGTACCTATTTTTTTTACATAATTCGAATGAGAATCATGTACCGAGTATTCTCCTTAAATATTGATAGTAATTCACCAGTCACCCTGTATATGTAAGTCATCAAGTGACTTATGAAGTGAAAATTTATCAGTTATTGAGTAGGATCAAATATTTATAAAACATATATTAAAAATAGGGGTTGGTGATAGAAGAGTGATAATTTAGGGTTGTATGTATTTTATAATGCCACATTATGAAAAGGTTGTCCAAAAAAATTAAATAAGGTGTTAAAAGTGGGCCGCCATTACACTTAGGGGTATGAAATATAGATAGTAGCCAATTGTTAAAATTATTGAATATGCATATAAAGTTTCATAAAAATCGGTTAAGCCGTTTGGCAGGAGTATGACATCTAACATATATATATGGACTTAAATCAGAAGAAGTTGTCATTATTTAAATTTCTAACACTTTCAATTAACAGAAATATAATAATACAGAGTATATTCAGCATTATCTTACAATTCCTCTTTAACCTACCAACAGGCCGTAGAACTCGAGTTGGACACAT